TACTAGTGACAGCCTGCTGGGGTTTAACGCAATGGTGACGTCGGACTACGTGTTATTTGTTAACTGCAGCAGAACTTGTATTTTGTGTAGGAATAGGAATTTGAGCGGGGTTCTCTCTGTTTATACTCTTAAGTATGACTAAGATTGCCCTGAAAAGAAGCTTTTGATATAAATTTTAGTTGGGACATGTTCAGAAATTTAACTCTTTTGGAAAATCTTGGTGGCCTTGAAAAGGGCCGATGGTAGTACAGGCATGAATACCTTGATACCAACAATCATTACGAAACTAACGATTTTAAATTGACTCACTACTTGACTAGCCTATTGATCCCAAGAAAATCGATTAACGTGCCCCATTCTAGTATAAATTCCAGTACTACACTATGTATGTTTTGATTCGCTATGAAAGTTCGACAAACAAAATGAGGGGTTCGTGGAATTTCCTATGTTTTGAGGGGTGCATCGATTAGCTTGGGACCCGAAGATAGTACCAGAGCTGAGCCAAAATGTTGAGCTCGTTTTTTCGGGACCTTCTGGTCTTAGAGTTACCTCTATGATGATACTGTTGCACCTATAGTTGTTGGCATACTTTCACTGATTGCTTCCCGGGGATCCTTGTTCAGCCATAGCAAGATGTGCGCGTTAGGACTTCCACGGTGCTTAAAACTTCAATCGTATCAACCAGCTTGTTGAAAAACACACAGCACGTGACTGGATCATCATTAACCAGAGTTGCTCTTTGTAGTGCAATCAATTCCTTGATAGGATCTGTTAAGTCATTGCCATTGTGTCCTTCTGACAATGTAGGAGATTCGATAAATGGGACCACTTCATCTCATTTGCACTAAGTGTGAGGAACATCGTAGGCTTTCCCAATTGTCGCATCATGGTGAACAAATTTATCTTCCTTTGTTACCAATACTGTACTGAATTCGGTATTGATTTGAGGAAGGATAGATTTCGCTCAATGTACTGCTTGTCCCCGTGGACTTAAAGGTGCATTGCAAGCCTTCGGAAACGCTTAGGCGTAGAACTTTCATTGTCATATACAACAAATGTTGTGGTTTGCCCACACGCCTGTCTTGACGACGAGTTTGACTGGATGCCATCATGAAATATGCAATCCGAATCCCTGGCTTGAATTTCCGTAGATGGTCAAAACATATGGCAGGAAAAGCTATCTCTTCGCCGTGCTCGTCATATATTAATGACAGATGAACCCTGTTTTGCGCGGAAGCGATCTCCAGGCATTTGTCCTTATTCCAAAGGAGCGTATCCTGTTGCTCATGCAGCAATGCTGTCTCATTATCCACGGCAATGGTTTGCAGCTCAATTTGAGGATCCACTGCAGGGGTTTCAAGACCATCTATGGCGATCTGATCAACTGTGATCCCGTAGCGGCGGTACAGTGGTGTCGTTATCTAATAAAAAAAGCCACGTTTTAACCGTAGTTTCCGTTATAAAGCTGGAGAAGTACGACGACTTATGGATTACGTGCTTTTTGATGAACACGTTGAAGGCCTGATCATCATCGAGCTGACGGGGAAGAGAGCGGCGTCTCTCTTACACAACGCAAACGGTAGAACAACATTCGAGCAAAAAGAAAATTATCAAATAACTATCATATGACATATGTGATTTCGTTCTAATTCCTCTATTTGGTGTCAATTAAACCATTTCGGATCAGAAATGTTATAACTAAGACATCGTAGCTTGCTATTTTCAGAATTCACACAAGCACACATCAGCAGCTCTTATTATGAGAAAAACTCAAATACATACATTCGTTACGGCCTTCGGTGACAGTGTCGTATGACAGAGCCTGTCGTTTAACATTGGTACTGTTATTTGAAAGCTTGTTTTGTCGGAAGCAAAGGCAGTCGATTATCATAGAAAATGTGTCGACTACGGTCGACCGACACGACTTTTATTCGCCTTCACACGGCATCGTCGAAAATTTTTCTCTTCAAGCAAAGATTTACAGTATATTATGGGAACTTTCTCAGGAGTGAAGAGTTTCACGCACAGTCTGACGTTTGTTTACTGGATATTTCATAGGAGAGAAGAGCTACAGAGTGGCCGTCAACGCCAATTCTATCAAAAAAAGGATAAGTGAGCAAGAAAACGGTTGTATTTTACTTTATGCTTCTTTCCCTTCAGAATCAGATTATACTCTAGATTGTAAAATTCGATTCTGAAGGGAGACGTACACTGTAGAAAAAATCCGTAGAAACTGTACCGAATTCCGTAGATTTTGCCTACGGATCCGTATTTCCGCAAAAATTTGTAAAATCCGTAGATCTACGGAGATTTCCGTAGATCTGGCATCTCTGACTCTCAGTTCTCACGCACACATATGCAATCATGTGAGAGCAAAACTAAAATCTGTTAATTCATTTAGCGTTGACGGCACCGTCGAAAAATTTGCTCTTCCAGCAAATACTTAGCAAATTCTTATGGAAATTTTCGGTGGAGTGAAAGGATAGTACAAACTCCGCCATGTTTCACGCACTTTCTGACGTTTGCTTATAGATTTTCTCATAGGAGTAAAGAGCTACAGAGTCGCCGTCAACGCCAATTGACAACCGTCAATGCAAGAACAAAACCACACACCGTAACGCAGCGGCAACGCAAACGGGGTTTAAGCAACTCTAAGACTAGTGGGTCTCGAAGAAACGTGCTCAACTTTTTGACTCAACTCTGGTACTATCTTCGGTCCCAAGTTAATCGATTCACCCCTCGAAACATAGGAAAATCCACTAACCCCTCATTGTATCTGTCAAACTTTCATAGCAAATCAAAACAAACATTGTGTAGTACTAGAATTTCGACTAGAATGAGGTACGATAATCGATTTGCTTGGGACCAATAGGTTAGTCAAGTAGTGAGCCAATTTAAAATCGATAGTTTCGTATTGATTGTTGGCTTAAGGCCGGCGCACAATAGCTACGTTTTCGGGTTTTTTGACAGATAATGCATAGGTTAACTGTCAAAAAACCTGAAAACGTATCTATTGTGCGCCGGCCTTTAGAAATCAATTAATGCACACGTAAAAACGCGTTTCAAATTTTTCGTCACTTCGTAATACTGGAAATACCGGTTTTTTAAGACTAGCAACATCGGTATTTCGGTATTGTTTTTGGGCGGTATTACCGGTTTTAAGTATCGGTAAAGGGTGTCCCACATCATCACGGAAAAAACGCTGTACAAAATTACCTAGTTGACCGATCCTTTTCAGATAATAAAATATAATCCATTAGTAAGCATTTGGCATATTTATTTCATTCAACTTCAATACCATAACCGTACAATCGCACATTACGCTTAACTCCACTCTTTAGGTTCTGTTCAACATCTGGCTGCAGCTTCTTCTGTACTTTCACTTCATGTCTTCCTCAGATTTGACCTCCTTGGGATGCTTCCGTAGTGCCTGCTTCATAATAGCCCAGTATTTTTCGATGGGCCTTACTTCAAGCGCGTGGGGGGGGGGGGGGGGGTTCGTGTCCTTGGGTTCGAAAGTGACTCAGTTGGCTTCGTACCACTCCAGGACAACATTTTAATAGTCGCTTGAAGCTAGATCCGGCCAGAAGATCGTAGGGCCCTCGTGTTGCTTCAACAGAGGAAGCAGACGCTTCTGTAGACACTCATTGAGGTAGATCTCCCCGTTTACAGGCCCGGTAATCACGAACGGCGCAGTCCGTTTTCCACATGAGCTGATTGCTTGCCAAATCATTTCTTGGCAAACTTTGAAAGTTTCTGCTTCCTTACTTCCTCCGGAACATCAAACTTGTGCTGGGCGGTGAAGAACAGTAGCCCTGGAAGCTGCCGGAAGTCCGCCTTGACGTAAGTCTCATGATCCATGATGAAACAATGAGGCTTCGTCAGCATCTAGGTGTACAGTTCGTGGCTTTCCCACCGTTGTTTGCTGTTCGTCACGATTTGGAGCCTTCTGCGCTTTGTACGTATGCAATCCCTCCCGGTTCTTGACTGATCACTAATAGAACATCCATTCTGACCGCATTTCACCTTCCGTTCGATGCTCAGAGTTTCGTAGTAATGTTTAATCACACAACTCACCGTTGACTGCACGATTCCGAGTTGTTTTCCGATGTCCCGATGAGAGGTTGAGGATTTTCCAGGTGCTTTCGCAAAATCAATTCGCGACGTTGCTTTTCGAGGTCGCCATTTTTTCCAACTTTCGAAAAACTGACAGTGTTAAAAATACAGTGTAAACAATGCACTCTAAACTACTTCTACCCAAATTTTTAAGAGAAAATACCCTATGGGTAATTTTCTACAGCGTTTTTTTTTCTGTGATGCAATTTAATGTGGCACACCCTTTATTACTGGTATTGAAATCTCTAATCGGCAGTGATGGCATAAAAAGTTAAATTTAGCATTTAATTAGAAACATCGATCTTTGAACAGCTATAACTTCTTTAGAGACATTCTAGCACCATACTATCTTGCACAAAGTTGTTAGGCAGTTCCTGTACTATATTTGTACATGATACGCAGGAATTATGTAACATGGTGGGGGGTTTCCTCGCTTGAGGTCAAGTTTACAGTTTTCCATATAACAGCGACCCACTCTAATAATTACGTGATTACGAGTAGATTTTTTTTTAACTAACGCTTGACTCATTACACTTTGGCTTTGATTTATTACACTGATGTTTACAAATTGGTACACATTTACTGACTAACTAAACGGAATTAAGCAGGTTCTTGATGGTCTGGCCTTATTCAATATCTAGAACTGCTGACCAGGCATCCTCGATGTGTGGTTGCTGACCATTGGAAGTCCGGTTCGTCACGATGGCTAATGTATCTGTATATTAGAAGTTCTAGGTTATCCCAATAAAGCTTGACTACACATCAACTATTAAAAGTTGATGTAATTGGGCATCCCTTCTCAATCAGATTCAGTTAAATCACACCTTCAATCACAATATCATGTATTATACCAAATAGCTAATTTTTATCCAATCCCTTTCCAGCTACATGCCACTGCTCCGTTCCAATCTCCGTCTGGATCCGGTCCTATACCGGGACTCGGTGTCGAATCTGAGGAAAAAGTACCGCCAGATCGAACTGGTTGGCAGCTAGCGGTTCGTGTACGCCTACTAAAGCCATTGATCGCATCGCATCGGTTCGAACACCCATAAGTAAATGAAAGTAACTCACTGGAGAAGAAAAGTAGATTTATAAAAAAAAAAATGCTAGGTGAGATTGACGCACGTCATTTCGGATTTGTTTCAATTCGGACATACAATCAAGGCAGAAGTCCTTAGGTTTTGATAATTTAGTTATTAGTAATTTTATGAATTGAACAAAACGAAATCAACCAATTCGGACGGATAAGCAATTTTATTCGGATTTGTAACAATCGAACTGAGTAGCAACCGGTACAGTCGTAGTAAAGGCTTAATCAATTGAGAGTAAACACTGGAAAGCATTGAAGCAAACACACAAAAGTAATTGGTTGTTTTAAATAAACATGGCAGTTTGTACATAGGCATCGTTAGACAAATGTAACAAACCCATTGATACACAGTTAGGCGCATAACATAATTATATTAAACGGAAAGCGTTTTATCCTAGTGCGATAAGTAGGCGAATTGTGACGAAGCAACAAAATCTGTTGAGATCGCTTGAAATTACGGATTGATCTCGGTTGACGCAGATCACAAGTTACTAAATTGTACATTTTTTTTACAAGAAGGTTAAGCAAAATATTGAATGAGACGTTTTTTATAACACACACACACAGTGGAATGATCTGAGAAAGAGAAGATACTGTAGATGAAGTCATCAATGTGACAGAAAGCTTACTCAAGACTTAATTTGAAGAAGAAAAAAACCGACTGATGAGCCTGCTGAGAGTTTGTGTTCGCAGTTCGAATTCGAAGTGGAAGGTAAACTGCAAACCAAGAAGCGCTTGGAACTCAAACTATCGATCCAGGCTCTCAAATACAGAACTAGCTTGTTGATTTTGACAAGCATAGAATAAAAACACTTTCCAAATGCATTTCGATAAGAGCCATTTTTGTAATCTTGAAGATAATTTCGTAGTAAAAGTTATTTAAACACATGTAAATATTGTACTCATTTAGCAGCTTAATCTTTGGTGCCGTTATGAAAACCAAAAACTGTCTATTAGTTTGAACGAATGATTGCTTTGTGTGAACGGGCTATTTTTTTATATATCAAAAGCAACTAACTGAAAGTTTGATTATAGGGTTGAATGGAAAGAAACGAGGAAACAAAATGGTGCCGTTTGATACGATTAGCGAGTAGGTTATTAAAGATTATTATGACAGTAATTACGAACAAAGTGTAGTTAAACGAAATGAAATGTAATACAATAATGTGAAGGGTGTGCGGAGCAGCACACAACTGCTCGATTTTGCAACACGTGGAAAATTTAAACTAAGAATTATATCAAAACGCATGTTTGATGCTAGAATCGAAGCTTGCCCAAAACAACTCGAAATGCCAGGAAGAGATTGATCATCGAACAAAGGTAATCGATTTCTCTGGAAAAGGGGATGATGAAATCAAGGACGTCTTCCAGTCAGCCGTCTTTCAGTTGAATTTACGATAGTTAAGTTGAGGTGTAAACAAAGCTCGAGGAAATTTGTTCAGCAAACCAATCAAATCAATTCCTGATCCATATCCAAATGCTTGGCACCGCGCAGGCCAAGCACAAAACCGAAACTGCAATAACTGAAAGTAGTCTATAACCTAGAGCAAAACGAAGAAACAATGTGGAACCAAAGCTGAAAACTATCAACTCTCAAACTTGTTCAACAGTCCGTAACGGGAGAATCAAAGCAAGCACAAAATCAATTCCATTATAGAGTAAAACTCATACCTAGCAGAATTAGAATGAAACTCATTTCAATGTGAAATTCCGTACCCAAACTACTAGAAACTAACCTACACTATAAACCAAAAACAAAAAGAAGCTTTTTACGCAACATCGTCGTTTAACCGTTGTACTAGAATCGAACATTTTAGCAACACACCCAACTGAACAACAATCCAACCGAAACCGAAATGTGAATGTTTCCTGTGAAACTTTTTACGTACAAAAGCAGGGTGTCTGTCTCTGCATAAATCTTGACCAATCCAAGTAGTCGTATAAAACCTTAATCTTGCTTCCATCCGTCTCCAATAGCAACAGCTCAAACTCAGCAACCAGACAAAAGCACTCTTCATCGTAGCAGTCCACGTGCACCCATAACTGTCACCATCCATGAAGCCGACCGAGGCGTGCGGTTTTTTTTTTTTCCCCATTCGGAATGCAAACGAAATTGGCGAACGTATTCAATTAACTAGTTTATTTTCATTTTATTTTTATCACGATTTTCTACTCTGCTTTTTGGGTTTTTGCTGCGAGGACCACGTGGAAAGCAAAATAGTCAAAGACAATTGCAAAAAAAATGATCATGTGCACTTGATTGATTGTGGGTACGGCGGGACACCCCTCCGAATGGTGTTTCCCAAGCTGACCGCGGTAACCGCAGCGTGCAAAAGAAGGGGAGGAAAAAACATGGTTTGATTATTATATCGACATCAATCAGCAATCAGGGCGTTCGTCGGGGCGGCAAACATAATTACATAAAAATGGGATTTCTTTTACACCGTTTTTTTTTCTGCGTGCTTTTTGGATCGCTTGTTGTGACACCAACCGAGTGACATCAGCAAGGCTGTTTGATTTTATTTGCATGTGTAAGGGTATGCGGTATGAGATTGTTTAGGGTCGAATTTGTTTTCAGCAAACATATTCCGCGAAATGCACGAAACGAAATTTCCTAAAAACTGCAACTTGAAAGCGAAACGTAACTTTGGTCACGGAGTTCCGCGAAATCAAAAACAATCGAAAATGTTTATACAAAGCGACGCACTCAAGCAGAAGTGAGAGAAAGTTGGCCACTGAACCGGGTAAACTGAGAGAACTGGGAATCGAAAACAACTAAGAAAAACTGGAAATCAACCCAGAATTGGATTGGAACTTAAACATATAATTCTTCAGAGTTGGTTTAGATGCTATCTTATATCAACATCAAGCTTTAGTGTGATAATTTATTAGCTAGAGAAAGTTCTGAAGAGGGTAGGTTGATAGTTCCGCTAGAGTACGGCAGTGTGAAAAATGAATTGAAGAATCAAAGTGACGATTGACTCACAGATGGCGAGTGGGTGAAAATTGTAATGACGTTTGGATTTCTGTCAAATCTCGTGTCACTTTTCAAATAGACCAATGTAACAAATGTAAACAAATCGTTAAGCAATACAAACTATTGCTCTTCTATCATTTTATGTGATATAAAAACATCCATACAAATTTACTTTCATTTATTTAAGATAATCATTGATCAAAAATTGTCCAATGTACAGTTTGAAATGATGGGTGTATGATTGTTACTTCGGTCATTCGGACTGCCTAACATGATTGGTGCTCATTTTCCAAAGGCGGGGCCAATCTAAAGTTAGGTACTATACTCTGAAATCTGTCAAAGGGAATCTAGTATCATGTAGACAAAACGTCCAATGTAACACTCATTGATTATGTCATTGAGAAAAATCGTCCAATGTAACATGTCCGATGTACAACTCGACTTGTCAAAACGTCGTATGTGGTTTTTTCTATGTTGTAGCATGAAATTCAAAGTAAAATTGTGATTTTACCGTTTCTTCTGAATTTTCAACGTTATTATACACTGACTACATTAAAAATAGTATTGCAAAATGTATTGTTTTCAAACAGTTAAAATAATAATCTGTCGAACTTCAACTTCGATTTTCTCAAAATGGTGGATATGTTACATTGGTCTATTTGAAAAGTGACGCGAGAAATTTCATGACATTTTTTTTAGTACGTCATCATTTTTGTAATTGCGAATCTTAAAACTAGGTGTCGCATGACCAGTTTTGGCTTTGCTTTGATTCGCCAATAGAAGTTGAAATTGTGCGAAGGGCCATTAATGCAGGCTTGATGGAGCCTCACTCGCGAGTTTGAAATGAGCCGAGCGTAGCATTTTTCTGAGGAGTAGAATGCCTACTGCCCGAGGGGGCGACTTAGACTCTATCTAAGGAAATTTTTTGCTTTGCTGTTGTGAGATGCACTCGCGCTTAATAGATAGAAACATGATTGATTATGATTTTGAAGATTTCCTGCAAAAAGGTGGAGAGCGATGCAAGTAGATGGGTTTAGATGCAAGAGATGAAAAATCTAAATCGAGATTTAGATGTGTCGCACCCCTCGCTACTACCAATCATTCCACTGAGTTTCAGAGCATGTGAGCGAAGGGGGATAAAATGAGAGTAAGGTTTGCTGCCATTCAGGTTCATGTTTTCTATCACACGCTCTTAAGGTGCTGCCACATGGAGGCTATTTCAGGCATAACATTTGATAACGGCATAAAAGCATTTGTAAACAAACTTTCTAAGTCCCTTTACAAGCGATCCAAAGTACGCCTTCGCAAACCAATACCACTTTCGTAAAGGAGAGAGTTGCCCCTATCCGATGATGTTATTGGTTTGCGTGCGCGTACTTCGGTTCGCGTGTAAAGGGCCTTAGAAAGTTTGTTTACAAATGCTTTTGTGCCGTTATCAAATGTTATGCCTGATTTCTAGTATATAGCGAGCTATGTGATAGAAAACTATATTATAGCCCATAGGAACACCTAAACTATGACGTGATAGCTCATAGTTATGACTTGCAAATTATAGTTTAGAGCTATGACATAGAGCCAAATTCATTGTCGTGTGTACACTCTAGCGATAGTTTCTATATCATAGTTGCAAGCTATAAACTATTCCATCAAGCCGGAATAGTTTATAGTTTATCGGTCATTGTTTTTTGACAGCAGTCTGCGCGCGGCGCTTTTGCTTTTGTTTTAGAAACCACTCATAGACATCTTATCAAAATGAATTCCGAGTTGTGTTCGGGATATGGACTCTGGAGACTATGGTATGGTCCACCGGAAGTTTCGGAACATCGGCAAAAGTGGTCAATTAATGAAATTGATCCTAGAGCTCCACGGTATTTTCTCAACCACTAATAGACGTTTTATGACAACAAATTCAGAGTTTTGACCAGACAAGGGATGCTGGGGACCACTTATATATCCGGAACATTCGTAAAAGTGGTCAATTCATGAAACTGATCCTAGAGTAACGCGTTTTTTTTTTAAACCACTCATAAATTAATATGAATAATAACTCAATATGACGGTATTTTTAAATGGCCTATTGATTCAATTTTGATGTGATGAACAACACAACAACATTAAATATAGTCCCAAACTCCAAAGAAAGATCTCTAAGAAGTCGAGAGAAAAAAAATCCAAGAATTCCAAGGAATAATATTCAAAAGTTCCGTTAAAAGCACTTAGCAGTTATTAAACACTTAAATACCACCTATAAATAACCCGTGATGATAAATTGAAAAATTATGTCTATGAGCAGTTTAAAAAAAAACATAGATCAGTTTTCTTGAACGATCAACAATTTTTATCCGGATAATAATAATATCTAGATATTCCGGAGCACCATCCAATAGACCCTGGGGTCCATTTTTCAGTCACAACTCCGAGTTTATTCTGAAGATACGTCTATTATCTTCCAGGGGAGCGTCTATGATGTTCCAGAGGAGCATTCATGGTCTCCAGGGTTTATTTTTCGAGCATAACTCCGAATTCATAATTATAAGACGTCTATGAGAGTTTTCGAATAATACGGAGTTGTTGAATCAGTTTCATGAATTGACCACTTTTACGGATGTTTCGGATCTTTTGGAAGACCATCCACTGCACAAGTCCCAAAGCCGTATTTAGGAAGACAAAAATGTTTGCGCCCAAACCGTCAGTTTTAGGTATATAGAGCCTTGGGGAAAGGTGCTTCATATTTTTGGCAAATCTTTATATGTTAGTGAAATTAGGGTGGTTGACAAAATTGGTGAATTGAATATACAAACTTTTTTTTATTATTTGAGATATTTAGACCAATGCAATGTTTAAAAAGTTGTAGAACAATCAATTTGAAGCATTTTTGTTGAAGACACCAAATTTATATCTCTTATGGTTATGATTTTTTTAACAAGCAGGTTAGGGTGGCCCTTAAAAACAGATTTAGTTGAATAACTTTTCATACGTTCATTTCTCATAGAAACGTAGCTTTGGACACATTTAGAACTTATGATGACGCATATTGATGTCGCAACCATGTTGCTATCTTTTTTGATTAGAAAATTAATGGATATATTTTTCGATTTTTTTTTTAAATTTTCAATATCTCCAAAAGGAGCAAACCGATTTTCAACTTTGGATTTCATTTGAGAGATCGTGTTTTTCTTCATTTTTGGTGGAAAAACGGTGGGAGCGAT